CTCGATCCAGTAATGTGCACAAGAGCCTCAGCTCTCTGGAGACTCTCCATCCTCATTGGCTCCTGCTTCTGTTAATCACGGTCAGTGAGCCAATGAGGAGGGAGAGGGGGCGGGGCTGAGCCAAGGCTCTGTGTGTGAATGGACAAGCAGTGCAGCAGCTCAGAATCGAGCCTGCCTGGGCTCCCCCATAGCAAGCTGCTTGCTTTGGGGGCACTCGACAGGAGGGAGGATCCAGGAGCACCGGAAGGGGACCTGAGAAGAAGAGGATCAGGCTGCTCTGTGCAAAACCACTGCACAGAGCAGGCAAGTATGACCTGTGTGTTATTTTATTTTTTTATTAGCTTTTAATATCACTTTAATAAGAACATTTGTATGTTGATTTTGTGTGCAAAGTAACTTGACAGCTGCATATCTTCCTCTCCTGTCTGTTGGAAAGATACACTGCTTCAAATGACAAGATAAAAGCCAAACTTGTAAGCATGAAGAAAATTTAATTGTCCCCTCTTCCAGTTCATAATGTAGTGTATGGTGCTTGAGTGACCTATTGACATGGGGGACATGGGGGACATGGGAGGGATGTCTATGTACACGCAAATATTGACTTTTGGAGAAGTAACTATTTGCAAAGAAATTTTTAGAACTTTAACCACTTGCCCTCCAGAGGATTTACCCCCCTTCCTGACCAGGCCATTTTTTGCGGTACAGCGCTGTGTTACTTTGACAATTGCACGGTCATGCAACGCTGCACCTAAATTAAATGTATGTCCTTTTTTTCTCACGAATAGAAATTTCTTTCAAGGGTATTTGATCGCCCATGTGGATTTTATTTTTTGCGCTTTAAAAAAAAAAGCCAATAATTTTGAGACAAAAAACAATATTTTTGACTTTTATGCTATTAAACATGTCCAGTAAAAAAATTTAAAAAATCAAATTTCACCATAAATTTAGGCTAAAATGTATTCTGCTACACGTCTTTGCTAAACAAAATATGTGTAAATTAATTGGTTTACGTGAAAGTTATAGCATTTACAAATAGCGGTATATGTACTTGGATGTTTACATATAGTTCTCTCCCCCGTCAGTAATGCTTGGCGATCGCGGGTGTCGGTGATTGACAGCCGAGGCTGCAAAAAGCGGCGTGGGTAGGACGCGCGGTATTGCAAAACCATGTATATATATATATATATATATATATATACATATACACATGATTTTGCACACTCCTGCTGCCCTGTAGCAGTATATCTGCTATAGGATGGAGGGAAAGCGGTTAATGATAGATTGGACATCACACTGAATAGTAGTTGCTGTGCAACTATGGGGTAACTTTGCATTGTGTGACCCGGCAATGAGTTTAGTTTAAAGTAGAACTAAAGACAATTTTTTTTTGTTTTGAATAAAGTGTAGAGAATATAGAACACTGTTTCATTGCTGTCTGTGCTGTCTGTGCTTTCATTGCTGTCTGTGTCACCATTATGGTGATACAGCCTCTATATTTGTCCTGATGACCAATGTCATTGAGGGTGAAAGTGAAAGAAAATCCCAAATTTTGAGTTGTCATGAGAACAAGAATAGGTGGCAACCAGGAATTCCAATTACTTTGGAGGCATTTCTTTTCACTTCCTGTTGAGGGTATGGAACTGGAAGTTAAGGGAAATCTCCCCAATGGGACACAGATGGCATAAAAACTGACAGGGGTTATAAACATCCAATGGTCTTCAATAAAAAAAAAATCATATGGCCCTAGTTCTACTTAAATTTACAAAAGGAGTCATTGCACACTTAAAGGGTTAACAAGTTTATAAACAAAATTGTATACATTGCAGTACAGTCATGAAAATGGAAAATTATAAGTGAACAGATTTCATCATTTTTTTTTGAAAATCTGTTCCAAAATGCATATACATATAAATATGTATATGCTGTATTATGCATAGAGTGCTTTTTTTATGTTTACACACAGCACTGGAAAACACTTAGTAGCTCACCAAGTTCTTGTTCTTGTAAGTGTGTACACTGTCATTCCTCAACATTAACCTCGCTTAGTCAGATCTATTAGAAGTCAATGATTCAGCACCTTGGGGCACTAGAAATGACCTTTTCAATAGGTGGTCATGAAGCAGGACTAATATGTAAAGTTTAAAGTTCTTCAAGAGCGTTTAATGTGTCACCTAATACTTTTTAAAGCTTATTGGCCAGAGTCAACCTTTACTATCATCATCTTGGAAGTATTCCCTATGTACTGTAAGCTACAAAAGTACTTCTAAGCATGTGTAAAATACTAAGCGTTCATTGGACGTTAATGTTAGGTGATTTTATTAAAATTACATGCTACATAGTGTTCAACATAGACTTTTTTCCAAATTATTACATTTGTTTATTGAGCAGTCTGGGTGTAAAATACTACCTACCTGTACAACCAAGTTTGTTCCACTGGAGTTCCTCCAGCCATCTACTCACAATGCTTACTGTCTGTCAAAATGTTGTGTTTTATCCATTGGGGTTGATTTACTAAAAACTGTAGAGTGCAAAATCTAGTGCAGCTCTGCATAAAAACCAATCAACTTCCAGTTTTTTTTGTCAAAGCTTTTGTGAAACCTTGTCAAAGCTTAACTGAACAAGCTGAAGTTTAAGAGGAGCCCTTGCACGCCTTGACGTCACGCCGCCAGATCAGGGAGGTCGGCGGCACCTATTTGTTCATATACTGGTCAGTGTATTCAGCAGTTTCATACTGCGCTTCTACCTATACCCACAGTTACCCTGTGCCTTGATATACTTATGTATGTATACCACCTACTTTTTATGCTCAATAAATACTTGACTTACTACACTATGGGTATCCATACATTTGTTGCTCTGCATTGAGCGTTCAACCCCAGCCCAGGACCCCAGACGATCCAGTTGGACCAGAGGATGAAGGTGATAGACCAGACCTACACTAACCACCTGATTGAGGGACCCCCTGGAGGACATCAATATTCCACCTGTCTTCATCAGACTTCCAGATGTCTTGGACTTCTATATGCGCAATAAGATTGCGCTTCTGGTTAGTAGGCAATCTTATCACTTTCTCACTGGATACCACACTGGAATTTATAACAGAACATCAGCACTCTTTATACTATTGAGGGGCCCGTGAACTTATGACTGTATTCAACACACGTATTTCTATTTTATATGAGTTTTTATTGGTATTTTAGCGCTGCACTATATTTTCTTCATTTTTCTTGCTATTGAAAGGTTATGTGGTTCCTTTGTTAGTGCATTGAGCTGCTCACATATGTGCTCGCTAGGCCTCTACATATTTTGAAGTTAGAAGCTGATTGGCCAGTGTGCTCAGCTGCACAAGATTTTGCACTTTCCAGTATTAGTAAATCTCCCCCATTGACTTCAGCTACACAACCCTTCAAAATCAAAACAGACAACAGAATGATCGAATGTATTACCATGATGGATATGTAAAGCACAGCTACTATGTAAGCACATTTTCACCGAAGTACCACATTAACTTAAAATGAACCAACAAAAAATAAATGAATACTTTAGATGGACACCTTTTTAAGGTTTTTTTTTTTTTTTTTATAATGCGCTTGCATAGTTACCGATTTGTATCCAAACCATACAGGCCTCCAAATTAGCACATTTATAACAAAACATATTTTAATCAAAAAGATTTACAGTGATGATCAATGGAAGTTCAATACTTGTCAAAAAAGGGACTGAGGAAGCAGGACTATACCTCTCAATTGTAAATCTGAGTGTCTGAACGACACAGGTCAGCCTTTGAAAGAGGATATCACTGACCTGTATAAATAAGAGCAGGACAAACACTTCCAAACAAGTAAAGGTCATGGTGGGGTCATGGCTGATGACCTGTTGGACTACTGTTTTGTCAAATGAGTATGCTTACCGTGTTAATCTCTCATCCTTAAGCTCCAAGTCTGCCACTGTTATGAACTGGTCAAGCTTGAATTTTGTGTCAATTATTTCAGCATCTCGTGGTGAATACGTACCACCTTCTTTTTGTTTCTGTCGAATTCTAAAAAATATACGCAATTAGTTTTCTATGCTTATATGAAGTTTTCTGAAATATATTGCTAATGAGCCAATGTGTTGGCTATGACTTGAACACAAATGTGCTTGCAAAAGTATTTCCTGATTTTTAAAGCAGACGTGTCACAACCTTAATTATACATTCAATCTTTTTATGCGCCATGCCATGAATTATTCAGCAAATAGTAGAATTTTTTCTTAAAATGTTTCCACATTGCCTAACGATCTCTTTAAAATATATATTTAAAAATGACCTAGTCAGTTCACAACTGCATATCCATCTGAATACTTCATTACATTGATCATACAGTGTTACATTCATGCTTTGCTCTTTGCATACTGAGATCACATTTAAAATTCTGTAAAATGCATATTTAAATATCTCTCGAGTTGTGATGAATTTAATTGTACTAGTGTTACATTTGCACACAATTATTTTTGTTACAGTTACACAATCTACTTTTTAGAATTATATAATTTTTATATAATCTAACATCCATTCTTTACAAGCTCATTAAATAAGGTTTTACTGAAATCTTGCAACCTTTGTTTTCAAATTCACAGAAGTCTATCTTTATTTCATTTTGCCTTTATAACTGAATACACTATATTTTATTTTCTAACTATAAAAAAGAATAAAAATATTTCTGATTAGTAATAAATTACATGATGATACCTTAAACAGGCCATAGACGAGTCGAAAACTGAAAGAAAATTCTTGTCGATCGTCATATTGTTTGTTTTTCACAAAGTGTGCCAACTGTGACACATGATTTGCGTGCCGCAGTCAAAAGTGCCTGGTCCAAATTTCTTAGAAAAAGGAAACAAATTATGGCACAGTCATATGCACCATTTTTGTTATTCCATTGACAGAACGTTCGGTTTTCGCCCTGTCTATGGCCAGTCCTACTCAATGTAATGTAGTAAAAACGAAGAAGATCGTACCTTGCAAAAGCATAGATGGCAGCTACAAGAAGGATAATAGAAAGCACACACAGGGTAACAGATAGGATAATTTCTACAGCTCTTTCTGATAGTCCATCAGCTGGAAAAAAAAATCGGAAATGAAAGGTAATCAAAGAAGATATCTGGTCTGTGACAAAATAATTACATTTAATACATACATAATTTAGCTGATTAGCAAACGAATATTAATTTATAGTACCCTGTGTTCCAAATACAGATACCTTTCTATCTCAATGTGGCCCATATTATGCTGGGTGGGTGAGATATGTGCAGTCAATTTGTAGTCAATTTATTTTGTAGTAGTGTTTGTTGGATTTTCCTAACTAAAGCCCTGTACACAACGGTCGAACAGCAGTCGATATTGGCTGGTACAGTAGATAACGGATGACATTCAGTCTCGTGCGCTTGGGCCCTTGATGGACAGAAGACAATCTCTTGGTGGCCTGTTAAATGAGCTTAATGGAAAACCAGCTGCCGATTGACATCCAATCAGCGCTCTGAACCAATTGCAGCAAGCTCTGTCCGGTGCGTTCTGGCAGGCAAGGGGTGGTCCCCCATCAGAACGCAATAGCTCAGTTGGGAGATTGCTGTACTAAAATTGCATCATCAGTACAGTGACCTCTTGCTGAGCTCCCAGTTTCTACTGTTTTTGGGGGGGACAAAATAGATTTTTTACTCAGAAATACAGTTGAGTCAGTAGCCTTCCCGTGTGATGGCTGTCTATTAAGTTTGATGGCACCACACTGATGTCACAACTTATGTCTGATTTCAACAGGAATGGACACAGATCATATTCTGTCTATGGGTTTACAACATGCTGACATGGATTTTGCTCACTGCTAATTGGCCTTATATAAATTTAGCAACTAGTATTGCTTACCACATGGAAGAAAAATATATTTTAAATATACTTTAAAAATATTCCTTCCAAATATATAGACATATATTTGAAATACTACAATTTTGGCCGTATTCAATGTATTTAAAAAAAAAAAAAAAAAAAAAAATATATATATATATATATGTTAAAAAAATGCGTTTTTTATATATTACAAAACATATGAAAAATATTTTTAAAAATACATTTTCAAACATACTGTATGTCTTTAAAAATATATTAAATCTACATTTTTTTGGAATGCATTTACAAATATATGTAAAAATATATGTTAAAATTACTTTTTTATATGTTAAAAAAAATCTGAAGAATATATATATATATTTTTAATATAATGAATACAGCCAAAATTGTAGTATTTCAAATATATATCAACATATTTGGAAAGAATATTTTTAAAATATATTTAAATTATATTTTTCTTCCATGTGGGTAATTAGGATTCATGTGGAAACTGAAAGCAGCAGAACATTATGAAATAAGAATTGATTTCAGAAAAGCCCAGAAATGAAATAATTGAAACATATGCTGTATTTTTATATTGCACATGTCCATGCTTCTCTAGGCATATTCTTAATTTGTGCATATTGCATGCCTACTTAAGCCAATTAAACATCTTTGTGAATAATACAAAAGGGAGCTTGTCATGCATGTGTGTGTAATGATCATATATATTTTGAGATGCATGATACATTGACCAACAATGTGTGATTTCAGCCTTAGTTTGGCATAGAAGGTTTATGCAAGTGCCAGCCTGCATATTTATGCAGTAGTTGAACTGGTATTTACATGCATTTGCAGTGATGCATGCCTGAGCACAAAGGACCATAGAAATGCAAAGTTACATTATACAAAGTAAGGATAAACCTATGTTTGTACACATCTTGTACCAGGGTAAAGTTTTACTAAATGAACAAATTCCCAAGAACTTTACAGCACATCAATCAAAAGTTTATTATAATATCAGATAAATAAGAGGAAATATTGGATTGATAGATATATGGGTGTTAAAACTAAGAAACAAGTACAAAATTCAACCAACATGTCTCTTTTTACTCAGCATTAGCATCTACGAAAGTTATCGAATTGAGTAGTAATTTTACTGGATAACAAAGTACAAGTGGATGAAAGCTCAGACAATTTGCTCTAGGAAATGAACCTAATTCCAAGAAGAAATTATTTTTTGCCCTTTCTAAAAAGAGAAAATATTGTTTGCAATGCAGGTACTTGAGGGATGCAGGTACTTGAGGGAATGCTTCATCCACAGGATTTTTATCACATTGCCTTTTCATATCAAGAAAACTGACCCATGGGCAGGACTTTGAGCACTGCTTTAAAAGTTGAGTGGGCCAGGCTGTCACTCAAAGGTCTACCATGCACACATGACCTTTACCCAGAAGTCCTTTCTAATTTATTAGCAAAAAGGTTGTAAAGCATCTAATGAGTACAACATTGGCACTCATTCCTTTACCGGCAATGAGATTTAAAATCTTGTTATATAACCACTAAAATGTCTTTGATGTATTTAAAGCCTCTGTAAAATATGCTTGAACTTTGCAGTATCTCTCTAGCGGCATTAACAGTGTAAAACTACAGTGCAAAATGTGTCATTGTGTGTCACAATGAATAAATGTTACTTTGATGACTCAATATCTTTTTTTTCTCCATGAAGTATCATGTGCTTAATATGTACAGTACTTATTTTTTTATCGTTGAAAACATCATTCACTCTACCCCCTACTTTTTTAGACTAGTTTGGTAGCTCCCATGATAACTCCATTGAGGAGTCACACAAATATCAGATTGGGGTGTCAGTCCCACAAATTCTACAGCTGACATCCTCTTTACCATGTTCTAGTGCAAAGCTGATACTTTACTGCGTGTTTTTATGTGTAGAGGCCTTTGGGTAAAGGGAACACTTAGTATTCCCAATCATTGTTTTTGACAAGCAAGTGAGGCTAAATTCACATAATCATCTAAAGATAGTTGGATTGCAGAGTTCAGATAAAAATGCCACACCTGGACACAACAGTACTCTTTGCTATGTCCACATTCAAACTGGAAAAAGAGTTGTGTCCAGTTTGTGTGTGACCAGAAACACCATTTCTGAACACAAAGGGAGAGAGTTCTAAAATCTGTGCAAACAGAATCTGGTGCAGCTGTGCATAGTAACCAATCAGCTCTTAGGTTTTATTGTCAAAGCTTAACGCGATTCTAAAGGTTGTATTTTTTAAATAAAAAAAAAAAAACAGCATGTTTTACTTACCTGCTCTGTGCAATGGTTTTGCACAGAACAGCCCTGATCGTCTTCTTTTTGGGTCCCCCGCCGGCGGTCCTGGCTACTCCCCTCTGCCGAATGCCCCCAATAGCAAGCCTCTTGCTATGGGGGCACTTGAGCAGGCTTGCTCCTGAGCTGTGCACACAGAGGCCCTAATCCTTTGCAACCACTCAAGTGGTTACATATGGACAGCAGCAGGGCTGGCCATTGATTTGTACAAATCTGGTCGTGCAGCTGCTGGCCACAGCTAACAACACATAGAACGTGCATGGGGTGCAGCTGCTCCACTGGCTAACCATTCATGATCACTTATGTGAATGTAGCCTTTAAGAGGTCATCTTGATCTAAATAATGTTCTTACTGTGTGGTAATGTTTTAAAATCTTTCAGTCTATGTATGTCTATATACCCTCACTGCCACTTTATTAGGTATACCTTGCTAGTGCCAAGAAAATATCCCCAACACCATAACACCACTACCACCAGCCTGAACCATTGATACAAGACAGGATGGATCCATGTTTTCATATTGTTTACGCCAAATTATGACCCTACCATCTGAATGTCGCAGCAACCAGTTTGCCCATTCTCCTCTGACATCAACAAGGCATTGTTGTCCACACAGTGATGTGAAAGTGGAAAACCCAAATACTCCTGCGATTAGGGATGGACTCTATGTCATAGGGATCACACAACGAATGTCTTGGAATATGCACGCCTTGCTGCCCTCAAAGAACCGGGGAGTCCAAAAGTACTAATAGAGAAAAACAAAACAGAGGGCCTTGTGCACTACCTTTAAAAATGTGTTTATTAAATGAAAAGAAGGTATTCTTCTCGCAAAAGTACATGAATATAAGCACATCATATGAGACCGCTCCGTCCAATTCGCACTGCGTTTCTGAATGGTGATGAGAATCATGGATATCCAAAATGGCTGACGCATTTCGAGGACTAGCCTCTTCCTCAAAGGCTCTAAGGAAGAGGCTAGTCCTCGAAACAGGTCAGCCATTTTTAATGTTGGAGGTAATGCACAAGGCTGGTGCGCCCTCTGTTTTGTTTTTCTCTATTTTTGTCCACTCTCTGGATATTTTCTCTTTTTGGACCATTCTCTTGAAACCTAGAGATGGTTGTGTGGGAATATCCCAGTAGACCAGAAGTTTTTGAAATACTCAGACCAGCCTGTCTGGCACCAACAATCATGTCATGTTCAAAGTCATATAAATCCCCTTTCTTCCCCATTCTGATCCTCAGTTTGAACTTCACCAAGTCATCTTCACCACATCTAGATGCCTAAATGCATTGAGTTGTTGCCAAATGATTGGCTGATTAACAATTTGTGTTACCAAGCAATTGAACAGGTGTACCTAATAAAGTGGTCAGTGAGTGTATACAGCAGTTTCTATATATGTTTCTTTGTATAGTTTGTAATTATAAATATGCTTGGGAGAAATTATTGTTTGTGAGTTGGCTGACTCATTAGAAGCAGTACACTCTTCGCGGTTGATTTACTAAAGGCAAATTGGCTATTCGCTTTGTTACAGAAGTTGCACTTTGCAAGCAAATTACCCCAGAGCTGAGTGAATGACTGTTTTACAAGTAAAAATTTTTTTTTTTTTATTTCCTTGCACTTGATTGGGTATTCTTTGAAAAGTGAAATTGTACCACATTTACTAAGCCATGTAGAAAATTATCTTGCAAAGTGAACAGCCTATTTGCCTTTAGTAAATTAACACCTGTGTGTAGCTGATATCTTATCTCTGCCGTACATTTGTGATTTAAGCCAACCATAGATGGATCAAACTTCAGCAAATTTGGCAGGAACTGGCTGAAATGCAATCTGTCTATGGACAGGCTGGTTGTACTGAAGTTGATCTATTGACTGACTTCAATACAACCAGCCTGTCATTTTTTATGCCCGATCACTGCCGGCGGATATAGCCACCAGCAGTGATAATTGTATTCTGCCAATAGGGAAGACTCCTTGCGCTCCCCGCTGGCAGAACACAATAGTACTGCTTGAGGGATTACCCCATCAACACTGTGTTGATAGGGGAACTGAGTGATTTTCTTTCCTTCAACCTGATCTTTCCTATATAGGTGTATTTGACCTGCAGCTGACCTAAGCTGTATGAAGCAATTTTAAGAAGATTGTGCAGTTCCATTGACTTGTACAGGGTGGAAAGAAATTGTGATGTGAACAAATGCCTGTGTATACAGGCCTTATTTTTTAATACATTTCAGACGTTATTTCTTGTGGACTTGGGGCAGATGAAACATTTCTGGAGTTTCAGGTGTCAACTTCTAACCTTGCAGACATTTGCTGAAAATGAAATATATGCCTCATTTTTGGGGTTTTGGAGAAAATCAGAGAAAAGGTGAGCTAGGAGGGCAGCTATCACTGCATCAGTGCACCTAAACTGCTGCACAAAGGAATTAGGGAAGACACTACTGAAAGATACCACACATCCAGTGCTAAATAAGATAACCTGTGGCCATTTGCATTAAAGTGATTCTAAAGGTTTATTTTTTTTAAGAAAAAAAATAACAAACGTGTCTATACTTACCCACTGTGTGCAGTGGTTTTGCACACAGCAGCCTTGGGTCCCCCACTGGCTCTCCTGGCCCCTCCCTCCTGTCAAGTGCCCCCACAGCAAGCAACTTACTATGGGGGCACCCGCTGCTCTGTGTGCACATTCACATACAGAGCCATGGCTCGGCCCCACCCCCTCTCTCTTTTCATTGGCTCACTGGTTGTGATTGACAGCAGTGAGAGCCAATGGCTCCCACTTCTGTCTCAGCCAATGAGAAGATGGAGTCCCGGGATAGCCAAGACTCCAGTGCACACCTCTGGATTGAGAGGGGGCTTAAGTGAGTATTAGGGGGGCTGGGGGAGCTGCTGCACATAGAAGGTTTTTTTACCTTCATGCATAGAATGCATGAAGATAAAAAACCTTGAGCCTTTAGAACCACTTTAAGAGTATATTCCTTTGACATAAAACAACAAATTTACTTCAGAACTCTATAAATGATTTCATTTTGCTAGACACAATCTATACTACATCATATTTCCAAAGCTGAAACAAACATAAGCTCTGCCATTTATGTATTCTTACCTAATGTTTTTATAGGAATAGAAAAATTAGAGTCGGTATACTGTCCTTTAAAATTTGTAGCTCTAAATTTAAATCTATGGGAGAAAAAAGCAGAATATTAATACAAGTGGTAACAAATGATACAAAAATATATATATAGATTGTTTTCCACCCAGCACTGAATTAGCAGAATTTACACAATACCAATTTAAAATATTTCTGCTGGCCTTATTCAAATAACGCTTCACGTTTTTAGCTTAGTTTACACCATCTTTAGGGGTACATAAACAACTTTAGCTTGTTAGCAGACCTGTTCATAATTTTAGCAACAACAGATGCCTAATGGCATGTACACGCGATCAGAAAATCGTACAAAATTTCTGTACCAGAAAAAATTGGCCACTTTCTGATCTTTAGTATAGTACTTTCGATGGCCATTTCTGACTTTTTGGATTACAAAAACTGAGGGTGTGAGGCTAGAAAATTGTTATCGTATGTGAACACAACATCCGATTTTCGTGTACAGTAATCATATGGAAATAATAGAATAGAAAAAAATGCACATAAGCAGAAGCATAGAATGACTCTAGGCTTCCTCTTCTACTTCACTAGTACGTAGCTACGTTTGCTTATGCTAGCCTTTGTTGGCCGTGAATTTTCTTACAAATCAATACCATTCTGACTACATCATGATGCGCATTTTCGTGGAAAATCAGATGATCGGTCGTCTGATTTTCTCATAGTGTGTACTAGGCTTTAGGCCAAAGATATAAATTACAGCTGAATAAAGATGGCATTGATGCATATTATTGTGCTGTATATCCCTGTGGATGCTGCATGCCTAAACTAGCAAACATTGATTGTGTCTGCACAGAATTCTTAAACCTGAGCCTGAGTTGGATGTGAATGTATATGGCTGGTAACAATAGCAGAGCAGTTGTAGGATTGTTGGACTTTACAGTCAGGGCAACCACACACAAGGGATTGTGATCATTTTCAAATTAACAGAAAACATGGCATCTGGCCTTAAATCAGCAAAACACTGAATTATTCTAGGCAATGCAACAAGTTGTAGAACTATATATGAAATGTTGTAATTATTGATATCTATTCACTGAAAGATTTTTGCCACCACTTCCCTGATTTATGATTTATATGTTCAACAGTGTGGCTGTATAGAATACTTCATGGCACACAACTATCTATCACAGCCAATTTGTTTGTTGTGGGTGAGCAGCCTTGCTGATGTGGCTAGATAGGAAGCTATTAATTGGAACACAATGGGATGGGGAAGTTCCCCAGGGATGTTTCACTGAAGAGGTGTTAAGTTATCAATCCTTCACTAATTCACATACAGTGAAGCTACTATCAAAGACTGACTTTATTTACCAAACCAGCTGCTTTTAAATGAGTGAGTCAATTAGCTTCTGTAGGCTGGCTTTTCTATGCTTCTAAAAGTAATTGAAAGCCATTAATTACATCTAATGCATATACTATATACTGCTTTTATAATTTACTACAATGCCTAAAGCATTTATATATTTTATATAAGACAAATATTATGCATTTAATAATTTATTAAAGTAAGCAACCATAAAAAATGCTTAGGTTTAGTATCTCATGATACCTTTAAATAAAAACACTGCTAGACAAACTCAACAGCAAGTTTGCAAAAAACAAAAAAAAAAAAAATTTAATATACAGTATCATGACTATATAAACATACATATACTGTCTTCTTGGTTTTAGGGGTCCATTACAAAACTCCTGTAGCAAGCAGGTATTGTCAGCTCCAATGACATATACTTCCTGCTTGCTGAAGAATCTGCTTGTCCCATCAGGACATGGTGGATTTGGAAAGCCTTCATTTGTAAAATATGGTCTTGGTTTTTGGAAATAGGCTTCATGCCACTTGGTGATATTCCCATCGTGTTGAGCTGTAATGTAAAGCACACGGGAATGTCAGATGAATTCATAAAACAAATAACTGAATGCACCAAGAGAATATTTTAATCTCATAGAATTATGTGACACGTGCTAAAACAGTATAGAGATTTTGCTCTACAGTGAATGACCACCCTGGTGGTCTTAATGTTTTATAGCTGGCCAACTTCCAATGATAAAATCACAGCAATTACACTGTAGAAATACATATCACAACACATGTGAATCTCTGTTTTTTTTATACATCAGCATATGGTATACATATAGATAACAAATAATATTAGATATTTATTTACAGCCAAAATTGATAGAAAGTGTAATAGCAGGTTTGTGCTGCTGTCTATAACCTTATTTTGATTATTTAGTCCTTATTCCTATTCTTATGACACCAGAAAGAGGGGAACATATTTCACTCTGACAGGAAGACGTAAACATTTAAATACCTATTAGCATAAAAGCATTTTCTTTAACAGTCTACATTGAAGGGGCTTCCCATTACTGCTTGTCCATAATAACACCCATTTGGAAAAAGATTTTCGTCAAAATCTCTCTATGGATTCTCCGGAAGTGATAAAAACTTGACTTTTCCAACCCTTATCCAAAAAAAAAAAAACAAGGCTTGGTCTGGAGTGGGCTTTAAATTATGATTCATTTTAATAATGCCCTAAAATGCAAATATTTTGTTTTTTATATTGCTTATGCGATATTTTACTAGAGTTTTTTTAGTTAATTAAAATGTTTTTTTTTAAAATGCTATGCGGTATCCTACCACATACTTGAATGCAGTAAGATACCACTTAATGAATGAGCCCATTGTCTACAGCAAGGGTCGGCAACCCATCGACCGGTCGACTGCGGGGAGCCGACAGGTCGTTCATGACCACTGCTCTGCCTCCCCCCAGCCTCTCATGTTACCTGCAGAGAAGAGAGCAGGAGGTAGCATAGTGCTGGATGGAGGGTGGGGCTTGGCAGCTCCCTACTTCCACCCAGCACTGTGTTGTCTTCTGACCTCCGCTCTCTGCTCTACACACAGGTAGGACACTGACAGGTAGGAAGTGCAACCTGTGTGTGTGAAATGAAGGGTACACAAGAGATACTGTGGGGAGGGGGGCTTAGGAGACACTGTGAGAGGGGGACACAGGAGACTCTGTGGGAGGGGGACACAGGAGACACTGTGGGGGGGTCTTAGGAGACACTGAGGAAGGGGGGACACAGGAGACTCTGTGGGAGGAGGGACACAGGAGATTCTGTGGGAGGGGGGCTAGGGAGACTCTGAGGGAGGGGGGGTTAGGAGACACTGTAGGGAGCTTAAGAGACACTGTGGGATGGGGCCTTAGCAGACCCTGTGGGAGGGGGACACAGGAGACTCTGTGGGGAGGGTTAGGAGACACTGTGGGAGAGTGGGGGCTTAGGATACTCTGTGGGGGGGCAGAGTAAACTACAGTGGGGGGTATTTATGATTACAAAAGGACAGGGAACACTGATTTGGGGGATGGGGAGACAGAGGACACAGCGATGGGGCAGGGTAGAGGACACTAAACAGTGGGGGGGGGGGGTGATGTGAAGGGGGGCAAAGGACACTGGTTTTGGGGGGAGTGCAGGACACTACTGGGGGGAAAGGGGACAGAGGATACAACAGTGGGGAATGTGGTGTGAAGGGGGGAGAGGACACTACTGTGGGTGGGAGGGGGCAAAAGACACAGCATTGGGGGTACAGGACACTAATGTGGGGGGGAGGGGGCAGAGGACACTACAGTGGGGAGTGATGAAAAGGGGGCAGAGGACACTGCATTGGGGGGTACAGGACAGTACAGAGGGGGTATGCTATAGAGGAGGGCAGAGGACACTGCTGTGTGGGGGGGTACAGGACACTACTGGGAGAAAGGGGGGAAAAGGACACAGCATTGGGGGGTAGAAGACCCCCCAATGCAGTGTCCTCTGTCCCTTTTCATCACCCCCCCACTGTAGTGTCCTCTGCCCCCCCACAGTACAGGGCATTACAGTGGGGGTGATATAAAGAGGGACAGAGGACACTACTGTACTTCCCCTCCCTTCTAGATTGTAAGCTCGAAAGAGCAGGGCCCTCGAACCCCTCCGTCGTGTATTGTATTATTTCTGTCCTGTCTCTCATGTTCTGTCCCTGCTATTGTACAGCATTGAACAAACCCTTTGGCGCTATATAAATACTATATAATAATAATAATGATTTTTTTTTTAAGGACACCGCCTAGAACCCCCCAGGGGATCTTTGCTTTACTCCATGTTGTCCAGGTAGACCTCAACCTCTGAAATGTTGGCTACCCCTGGTCTATAGGTTTATAGTGTATCAGCTTAAGTACTCTTATGAAACACAAAGCCTTAAATAAATCAGGAGCACTGCTCTTTGAGATTCTGGAAACTGTGTTAGCACACTTCCACTTACCCAAGCAAACCCAACTTAGATATGTACATAGCACCTATAAACCAGTACTGTTATTTTGGGTATAGATGGCAAGGATACCAGTATATGGGAGCTTCTGATAGTAACAAACAATAATCATAATTTCAAATGTTTATTCAGACTACATCTGCACTCTTATAATTTCATGTAATATAGTAGCAGTATAAGGCATTTTAAACATATTTTACATGCATTATCACATATCTCTATGAATGTTTTGCAGGACCTGTACCTAAGATGCAGCAAAGGGGATTTTATCTGTATGCACTGCACTAAAACAGAGAAATGTGAATGTAGCCAGAAAACAATGTTAACTTACCTGGCAATTTTCCAACCCAATAGAGTAAAGTTGAGATGGGTAATAAGGTTAATCTATTTCTTATATTGGTTGTGCATTATATTTTTAATTTAGATATATCTATCAAAGGCAAAACTTGTTTTTTTTCTTGTTATAAAAGAAACAGAGGTTCCAAAAAATTATATATTTTAATAAAAAATAAAGGCCAGTCAATAGCAAAGGTAGATAGCACATTATCTGCACACATTTCTCAAATCTGTGTTCATTTGGATAAAAATCAGTAGGGAGTTGAGTTCTCAGTTACAATTTTATCACAAAACCATGACCTGTATTCCTCAATGGTAAAACAGAGGGCAAGTTTAAGTTTTTAGAGATTAACACATTTTTGCTTGTTTTTCTTAATTGCTAAGGGATTCTGATATTTCAAAATGATTTACAGGCTCCCAAGTGATGAGCTTAGAATTTCTAGAGATTGATTTTTTTTATGTAACAGCTTGAATGCATTTGCATTGCTGAATTTAGTCACAAATGTCCAGAACAGAACAGGGAAGAGAGAATCAAAATAAGAAAAAAGTTAGGCTTTGTGCCTCCTTCATAACCTGCTCCCAAAGGTAAGAGCCAACAAGTACCAAATATATATACAGCACTAGACCTTAATCACCCCAACTAGCTGTGAATTTTTCTTCTGACTAGTAGGATTTTTTTTATAAGCATATTTACAGTGAAGGTTCCATTCTCATGTTAGGGGAGAACTGACCTTTAAGATGTATACTGGAATATCTCTGTCACCAGTTACAAGTACTACTGCGGCATGCAAATGCTTGTATTGTTCATCTGACAGCTCCTGTAATACCACATTATTCCAAGTAAAGCTTAGATCAGTTGCAAAGTTCAGCAATGTATAACCAGTTCTGGTTTTGCTTACTTTGTTCAGATTGAAAATTAATCACTTAACATGAACAAAAACATTTAAAGTAGAGAATTTACTGACCCAAAGACATCATATTTATTTTGCTTCACTTTTTCACCCTCTAGGTCACTATCTCAATGTTATTTTTTAGTACCAGGGCAATATAGCTGGATGTCAGCTAATGCGAGGTCAGGGGACTTTGGAAACAGATAGATCCCTTCAATTCAAAATTAAAAGATGATTGTCAAACTGGACAGAAACCTAATACAAATCCAAAGTCAAGGCTGAGATGAAACGCAAAGAAGACTAAATCACTCAACAATTAGGGATAGATTTCTTATTAGGCACATGAAAACACTAGCCCTGAGGCTTAAAGTATATTATTGGAAGCATCGGAAATTATGTTTATGTGAGTCTTATGACAGCTAACTTATTAATAATGAAGAAATATCATGGTTTATTGTTTCATCTTGGATAAGGACCCCAAAGAGTCTAGATACTTTTATGACTCATCAAAGCTTTGTAATAAGGTAGGGTTTAAGTATTATTAATATGTGCAGTAAACCATAGCAACCTATTAGCTTTCAGTATACCAAAGTAATTTTGCCAATTACTGATGGTGTTTACAATGCCCTATCAAACATGTCTCATTTTATCTCTATCACTAGCTTACAGGCAATCCCCTTATTTTTGGTACAGGGATAGACAATTTGCCTAGCAGAAATTATTTGCACATATATGGATTTGACTTGGAATCTACAAATTTGACCCCTGAATTCATATGGGGAAATCAGCTGAACTGCATTTTGAATTACTTGCTCAATATGAAGAGTGTTTTCCTAACTTCAGCCTCGATTCGTATCTTGGAAGCTTTCTATTGGCATTATAGCTCGCTTCAGTGTATTCATAATAACAAATGTGTATTTAGCTTCTCTATTTCTTTCTCGAGCTGATGACTGTTGACTAACTGTATTGACTTTTCTGTATTTTATTAAAAAGTTTGCTTTTGTTCTGTTTAGCAAAACATTTTTAAGCTTGGCGCACTTGACGCCTCTATTCATTCCTGCCTTTTTAACCTATTTACATGAGACATTGTTAGCTAGCAGCTGGAAACATCTGGAGCTTGTGAGTTCCAAATATCAGTCATCAGCCAAAGATCCAAAAACTATAATTATGGGACCTTGAAAACATCAACCACAAAGCAGCATAGCATATTACATACAAGTATTTAGTCTAGTTTTATTATTTTTTTTAAGTAGTGAGAAATGTGCAAATAGACTAACGTGAGGAAACAGCTTCTTACCTCCACTTTCTGAAACAAGAATCTGAATTTTTTTAATTGGTCCATTAACATCACTGAAGTAGCATATTGGCATTTTAACAGTAATGGTTGTTGATGTAACCACAACACTCCCGCTTGAGTCATAAATGGGCACAGGTTTCATTATGGGATGAGGTGGTTCTGCCAGCAAAAAACAATGATATACTGTAAAATAATGAATACAATTTGCTTTTTTGAAGGAAACATGCATCTAGCTATTATTATTTTTTATCTTTTAAACACTTGTACAATTGAGCGATATATCCAAATGTTAAAGTATATCCAAACCCAAGAATAACAATGCACTATATTGCAGCCTGCAAATACTTAAATGTAGTGGCTGCATTACTTTACTTTTTTATGGCTCTTTATCCATTATTTTCACCTGGTAATCAGTAACACTCCCTGTCTTAAGGTGACAACACTTAAGGCTGGTATACACGGACCAAAAATTGGCCGGTGCGGCAGGAACCAGACACATTTTGCTCCGTGTGAACCGCTGTCTGTTCCTCAGAAGCTGATCTAATGATCAGCTTCTGTCAAATGGTCCTGCAGGAAAACCAGCATTTGATCAGCATTTGCATCCAATGGCTGCAGCACTGATCTGTGTTTTCTGACAGATATAACAAAAGGCTTTCAACTGTATATTTCACAGACCAAAACAGAACAAGTAAGGTAGGATCAATGTTTGGGTTTACATACATTTTAACAGTTTTGATGGCATGGGTGATTGAGTAAGAGTAATAACAGCTGCCCTTTTGAGCTACTTGACCAATCACATATCTAAATATTTGTTCTTTTTATCTGTGAAGAAAGTGAATTATGTTTAAACTGTCTGATCCTCTTTTTCTGTGGGTATTTTGGGGTAAACTAACAAAGGGTGGTGCCTACAAAAAACCTGCACCAGTTTTCTAAACTTAGAAAACAAAGCAGATGCTGCTGCTGATTGGCTCAGGAAGCTTAGTCAATTCCCCTGTATATGGCCAAATAAAATATGACTGAAGGAATTTGGATCATTATTTCTTCTCAGATAAATGCAAATATGTCTGCCCTTCTGTTACTTTATCATTATACACTACAGCTTGATTGTTAACATATTTGTATTATATGCATATGGTACCGCTGCAATGTATATCTAAATATATAATTTCTATACTAATGCTCTATTCACTTTACTGCAGTACCGTATCGCACAAAACTGTGGTTATTGCTTATGAATGGCCTTGAAATAAATCTTGGTTTTGGACTACAACACACATTAGTTTCTATGCACCACAACATCCAGATGTGAACCATCTGTGTGTTGTGGTTTGCTGCATTAAAAAGAAAATTTTGCAGATCCATTAAAACCTGTATGGTGGTGTTTGCGGTCTGCTCAAAAAATGAGCAGCCTTAGCGCAAAGCCCATTAATAATGTATCCCAATTCAGCAGAGATATTGAGTTGGCTCTTTGGCTGCCCACAGGTGAGTCTTTTTTTTTTCATCCAATGTTGGAACAAAAATACTTACCCTGTTCCCCCATCCCACACATTTATCCCCTCTGAGACATTGTATTCTGACAGTTGGGAAACTCCCCTGCCATCAGAATGTGGAGATGAGTGCCACAATGGCCAGACTGAACTTCAAACCATGAATGGCCAGCTTTAGTCGTTTTTATTTTTTACAGATCCATAATCTCAAAGAAGAAAATAAAATCAGTTTTTGGCTCTGCACATTGGAATCCTCTGCCCTATTTATTCTATTTTATTTCCTAGAGTTACAAGCAATACTGCTAAAGCACTGAGTTGTGCTGTGCTATAAATCTCTATTCTTCACCGATTCGAGCAACACTCCATAGGGATGCATTAAGAACAATTGTTGCCAGCAGTTTTGCCATTACCACAAAACAGTTCTTGACTGTGGGGCAACAGAGAAAATAAGTACTTGAAAAATGTCACAGTTACCAATCCCATCAAAAATCATTATTTTTTTGTGAGAAATTGAAGTATAAAATGTCGAGGGTTGTTACTATTTTCCTTAATTTTATTTTATTTCCCTTTATATGGTCACTGCCCAATCCTACCAGATTTGGTCCCAGATCTGACATGTTCAAGTACCTTCAGACCTTAGTTAACACTGAGATGTCAGTGGAAAAATCTGTCAGCAGGGTTGGATTTTGCTAGCTAAGAGATTAGTGTTCCTCCAAAATGGGAGTGTCTGCTGAGTGACAGACTCAAAATAAGAACATATCAACTATTAATTTGTGCCATGATTACATACTTTATAACTGCACTCAAAGCCTCCCCCCACCAATTTAAAAACCTCACCAATTTCACATTAATCCCACTCAACTATTCCCATACATTGCTAAAACCTCCATTATTTGCAAGCCATAACAAACAAGACTGTAACCCAAACTGAGGATGACTGTGAAGACTGTTTTCTATAACTGTTACAGAAATTATTAATTGTATTGTAATACATATAGTAATCTGCAAAACATTTCATATGCATTATATAAAAATGTCTAAAAAAGGTTCAGCTTTAGACTTAGCTGCACTTTAGTTCAGCTGATTCCTTCCCTAAAAATATTTTTTCCAACAATTAAAGTGACCACATTTTTGCATTTCAGCTTTTGGGAAGCAATGTATAAAACAGTGAACGGTACCTTTTACATCCATAGTAACTCTCATTTGGATTTTTGGTCCTGCTCCAGCACCATTGACTGCATATATCTACAATGTAAACATGAAAATAATGTAAAATATTCTAGTCTGTAAGCAAATGCTCAAAATGCACTATCCACATGATTTTTATATGTTACAAAAAGTGCTTGTAAAAAAATATATATAAACAGAGAGGTCAAGAAGGGTTGTACATAACCATGGATGCATATGGACCCTTTTCTAGAAGGTATGCATTTCTGATCACGTGGACACACAAACAAGGCTATGTGGTCATTTTTGAAGCAAGTTAGATGTGGTTTAGGAATTACTTGGATTTTGTTAAAATACATTAACCAGACTGTTAGGCATACTGTATTTAAAAAGCTGTGAATGTGACATGTACCAAATATTTACCACATGTGAATCTTCCTGGTGAATGAATAACCACCTGTAAATGGTGACTGTCACATTCACTACTTTACAAATATGCCCCGAATGTCTGTACAAGCATATATCCACTTTGAGGCTGAACCTCTATTAATAAATTTTATAAAAGTGAAATGTGAACATCGCTATATTATCAACATAAGGGATCTTTTTAAAACCAAGAAACTGTATTTTCAGAAGGAAACATCACAGAGTTCCTTTCAATGATTACTGTACTATAATCAGTAAGTCCTCACACTTATGTTATATGTATAGCCGCCTTTAAGTCCTTCAATAATAGCAGTTACAGATGCTTCATCTCGTCTAATGATACTTAGATTGCGAATATGGGTCTTTGACGGATCATCTTCTTTGTATACAACTGCTTGAAACATTTGAATATTTCCATTAGGCTCTGATGGTGGAATAAAGGTCATCTGAACTTTGGTCACTTCATTTGGTATCTTTTCAATTGTTATGTTCTTAGGAGGATCGTTTGGCACTAAAACAAAATAGTAACACAGTCATTGTTGTATTATACTATTTAATTACTAAAACAAATATAATACATATCCATTTCTTACGATGCACAGCATATAGTTAGCACTCAATAGAAAAAAACACACAGCTTTGTGCATTACCTTTAAAAAGAGTTTATTAGAAAATATAGTTGTGAAAAACATACTCACAGAAGCCAAAAAGGCTCAAGGGGTACAAAGACCTCAAAACTGACAATGGAAACAGGATGTGTGAGTGGCCTGGACTTCACTAACTGGCAAGCAAACAAGCTAATACAATGACTGAAGAAGAGGGTCTCACCCTTGAAACTTGTCAGATCAATTGCCTACTGGTGAGTGAGGTCCAGGCCATACAGAGCACATCTTGTTTCCATTTTCTGTTTTGGGGTCTTTGTACCAGTTGAGGTGTTTAGCCTTTTTGGCTTCTATGAGTATGTTTTTGGCATTTAAATATTCTAATAAGCTCTGTAAAAATAATGCACCTTTTTTAAACTGTTCATTATAGAAATAACTCCAGTCTGAAGAGGGCAGCATACCTGAGGATAATCTGACTACTATTGCTACTTTATGTCTACTTTGGAGGACTTTCACTATGGCCCCTAAGTTCTGATGTACAGTATATACAGTATTCTGCACCTGTTCCTTTAATGTTAGCACTCATTTACATCCAAATATCTTTGTGTTAATTTTCAGTGTATTTGAACTGCTTATACATTATTGGCAATGGAGATGTCAACAGGTCAGCATATAGTGTAGATGACACACATTTAGATTACTATAGGCTTAATTCACAAACCTGGTTTTCTCTTGTTCTGATACTATATCCTCCATACCAGGGGCGGACTGACTATTTGGAAACTCGGGCCCTGTGCGAGGGCCCGGGGTCAGTAGGGGGCCCCATGAGATGCCCCTGGTACCTATTTCATAGGCTTTTTTGAGTTTGGGCAAGGACACAGGGGCCCCATGATCCCCTATTGCCCGGGGGCCCATGAATTGCTCCATACCAAACCATATTTACTTCTTCACTCTCAGATCTTAATTCAAAAACATGCATAACACACTTTGTTTAATCAGCTCTGTAAGTGTATTTTACCACTGCTAGTGTGATTATGTTCCTTTTGTTTTTGTTTTTTTCAATTTGCTATTATAAAAAAAAACAATGTAAAAGTCAATTCACAAAGTTAACCACACAGATTACACTCCTTAAAATAACACTGCCTCAGGATGGTGATAACTGAGAGTTTCAACAGTTGTCTATGGAGGAGAGAAGAACAAGGAACCATTTGAGGGGGCGCTAAAATATTAATTTATGGGAAAATAGGGATTTTAACAGATAAATAATAACTTTACATGACAAAATAAAGATGATACATCCTGGTGACATTTATGTTTGTGAATTGAACAATTTTGGAAGATAAAATAAGTAGTGTTATAAAAACCCATCCATCTTTGTGAATCAAGCCTGTTTTGTGAATATATTCCTTGGCCTGTGATGGGACATTGTGTTACAGATAAAACCTTTTTTTAACATCACTCATGCTCTGAATACTTTTGTTTATATTTATTAGTATATCTTTTTGTTTTTGATAGGATGTATTAGTGTTAAAAACCTTGTTAGGTTATAACAGCTGTTTATTTTCCCAATGGGAAGATTCACCCTCTCTACGCGACTCTGTTTGTGAGTGGGGCCAATGATCAGAAACCCAAAATGTTGCAGGTGTCGCCAATATAAGAATATAGAATGTCCTTCAAAAGGGACACCTGCTGCAGTGACAACTGTCTGAGAAGGGATTTCCCTTTACTTTGAAGAAGTTTCCTCTCGTGTCTTGTTGTGTCTCTAGGACAGAAAGTGAAATAAGACAACAAAAACAAAAACTTGACATGGATTTTAATTATTTCCTACCATTAATCAAACATTAATCAAACATTAAACATTTGGGCTTAAAATATACTTGAAAATGTGATCATTTAAATATTTAAATGTAAAATTAAAGGGAATTTTAGACAAAAATGAATTCAGATGTTTCTAATAGTTCTTGCAGACTCCCACTCAATCTACTGGGTTTATTTGTTATGGAAAATTCACCCTGAGTACTAGGAAAACCGCTATTATAACAAGAAGACTAAAAATCCAAGGGGTGGTGACATTGAGATGGGATCTGTAGTGCGGAGTTCGCACAGCTAGATTTCTTAACCACTTCCAGTCTGGACACTTTTCCCCCCTTCCTGTCCAGGCCAATTTTCAGCTTTCAGTGCTATCACACTTTGAATGACAATCGTGCGGTCATGCAACACTGTACCCATATGAATTTTTTAGCATTTTTTTTAGAGAGATAAAGCTTTATTTTGGTGGTATATATTCACCACTGGGATTTTTTTTTTTTTGCTATGTAAATGAAAAAGTCCAAAAATTTTGAAAAAAAGTGTTTTTCTTATATAATTTTGCAAATAAATAATATTTCATTATAAATCTTGGCCAAAATGTATTCCATTATCTTTTTAGTAAATAAAAAAAAAATAACCCAAATCAGTTTATAACCAAAAAATTATAAATTTTTGAACTTTTTTTTACATTTTTATTTTTTTTTTTATATTATTATTTGTTTTTTTTGTTTTTTTACATACTGTCACCCTAGCAGTACAGTGTCACCATGGTGACACTGTACTACTTGTGGGGGGTGATGAAATTTTTTTTTTTTTTCACACTCATTGCTTTTACACCCATAAAGGCTGTAAAAGCAATCATTTCTCCTTCTCTCTGGCTGCATTCTTGCAGCCATTGAGAACTACTGTGTGAGCTGTGATTGGTCACAGCTTGTCACATGGTACAAGGCTGTTGTGAATAGCCTTGTACCAAGTGACCTCTGTGATCATTCACAGATTTCACACATAGTAAGCAATGATGTCAGAATTGACATCTTGCTTACTACTCTGCATGTGATCACTGATTGGCCAATCAGTGATCACATGATCGGGATCTCGCACAGAGGTCCCGTACGATGATTGGTGTTCCACTGTGTCTGGAGGACACAACGGGCACCGGATCATGGTTCTGCGCGCTCCCAGGGAGCTCGCACAAGCAGGGGGCAGGGAGGCCGTTTATAAACGGCCACCCGACCCTGCACTGCCACCGTCCGGCCATTTATATACAACGGCCGGACAGGAGGTAGTTAAACATCCAAAAAAAATGGATCAGGCTTTTCGTATGGCTTACTTTTTACCACATCTATCGACCCCTTAATTACTTTTTTCTTGTATGAAAGAGCACTCAATAGCCATATTTTTTGGGTACATAAGGGGGGAATGGTCAATGTAAAAAAGTTATGGCTTAACTGTTATCCATTTGAAATATATGTAGTAATAATAAAGTATAAATTGAGTATATCAGAAGTACAGTCATGGCTAAATGTATTGGCACCCCTGCATTTCTGTCACATAATGCGCACACTTCACTTCACACAGAAAATTGTTGCAATTACAAATGTTTAGGCATTAGGTCTCCATCAGAGGTCATACAGCAAAACAATGACCCAAAGCACATGTCAAAAAGCACTCAAAATGGTTTCAGACAAAACCCTGGAGAGTACTAAACTGGCCAGCAATGAGTCCAAATCTCAATCCCACAGAGCACCTGTGGAGAGATCTCAAAAGAGCAGTTGGAAAAAGGTACCCTTCCAGTCTGAGAGACCTGGAGCTGCTGGCAAAAGAGTGGTCCAGAATTCCAGTACAGAGGTGTAAGAAACTCATTGATGGTTACAGGAAGAGATTGATTTCATTTATTTTATCCAAGGGGTGTGCTACCAAATATTAGACTGAGGGTGGAAATAATTTTGTCCAGTGTATTTTTGGGGTTTTGCATGGAATGTGTCAGATTTGGCTTTTTGTTTCTCCTTTTTTTGTGTCATACCAATACAAACAATAGAAATAAACATGAGAGTGCATGAAACATTTGTAATTGCAACAATTTTCTGGGTGAAGTGGCACATTATCTGACAAAAATATCGGGGGTGCCAATATTTTTGTCGATGACTGTACTTCTGATGTACTTAATTTATCCTTTATTATTACTACTGCATATATTGCAAATGGATAATAGTTAAGCTATAACTCTTTTGCATTGACCATTCTCCGTTATGAACCCAAAAATTATGGCTATTGAATGCTCTTTCATGCAAAAAAGAACCATTGAGGGGTCAGTAGATGTAATTAAGGTAAATCATAGGTGAAGTCTGATCTATTTTTTTTTTTTTATATTTTTTTAAATCTAGCATGAATCTATCTGTGAATTCCTCACCACAAATCCCATCTCTGTGTTAACACCCCTTGGATTTTTAGACTTTTTGTTATAATAGGTGTGTTCCCCGTACCCGTATAAATAAACCCAGTAGATTGAGTGGCAGTCTCAAAGAGAGATTAGAAACAGTTTTAACTCTCCAGCATCTATATTAGTTTTTGTGTAAAATTATCTTTCAAATTATCACATTTTAAAGTACATTTAAAGCCCAAATGTTTTTTTTTTTATAATTGTGGATAATAGTAGGAAAAAATTTAAATCCATGTCAAGTTTTTGTTTTTGTTGTCTTATTTCACTTTCTGTCCTAGAGACACAACAAGACACGAGAGGAAACATCTTCAATGTAAAGGGAAATCCCTTCTCAGACAGTTGTCACTGCAGCAGGTGTCCCTTTTGAAGGACATTCTATATTTTTGTATTGTCAACACCTGCAGCATTTTGAGTTTCTGATCATTGGCCCCACTGACAAGTAGAGTTGAGTAGTAAGGGTGAATCTTCCCATTGGGAAAATAGACAGCTGTTCTAAGCTAACAAGGTTTTTAACACTCCTAAATCCTATCAAAAACAAAAAGAAATACTAATAAAAATGAACAAAAGTATTCAGAGCATGAGTGATGTTAAAAACAAGTTTTATCTGTAGCATAATTTACAGTCACAGGCCAAGGAAAATATTCATACAACATACTGCCAATACATTTGGCCATGACTGTATGCAATCATCAAAGGTGTTGTAATAGCCAGGGGCGGACTGACCATTTGGAAACTCGGGCACTGCCCGAGGGCCCAGGGTCAGTAGGGGGCCCCATGAGATGCCCCTGGTACTTTTTTCATAGGCTTTTTTGAGTTTGGGCAAGGACACAGGGGCCCCATGATCCCCTATTGCCCAGGGGCCCCATGAGTTGTCAGTCTGCCCCTGGTAATAGCTTTTATTTTAAAGGGAAATAGAAGACATACCTGCCTCAAGAGTGGTAGCAATCACAGCATCACTGGACTTCCCCTCGGTGAAAGCTGATTCTAGATCTCCAGTAAAGGCTATAATTATTATAGAGTAGCTTGTAAATGGCTTCAGGCCTGTCACCTCAATACTTTTACTTTCATTACTCCACCGTACAAACTCTTTCCTGTAGTCTGCACCATTAACCTGCAAGCAAATACGTTTTTTGTTACTTTTGGTGTACAGTACATAACATACAATTAAGGCATGAAATACAGAAGCAAGTTTTTGTGCACTCATAAAGGGGAACACTAGGGAATTTGCTACTTTTTTCAATAAAGATCAAACTATTCTGTTATTAACCCTCCTCCACCTCCATTCTACAATATATCAGCCAACAAACACATTAGAACTGAGCCAGTGCTGCAAGTGCAATTGACCAAAAAACAAAGTGGCCCTGCTTCTCATAACAGCAGCCTATGGAACAAAGCTTTTCTACATCTCTGTTACCCAATAAGACATTCAGGAATGTACAGTAAAGAGGGGGATGACTTACCTTATTGTTCGATTTATCAGTTTAGTTTAAAAAAAAGTTCTGATTTCTTTGACCAGTAGAAACCCTTATTTAAGAAAATGGCTCATTTAGGGTAACATTTTAGAAAAAGGGAAGTTTTGTAAGTTAAAAAAAAATGTGATGGACGGTTTATTCCTAACTGGAAGCCCAAAAATCATCATACATTTTTCCCATATGCTGATAGAGATGTTTGTTTATTCACCAGGGTGCAGTTTTGGCATGAGGCATGACACTTTTCTTTTGCTATGGCAGGGAAGCCATGGGTAAATTGACAAATATGGCTACTACCACATACATAGATAATTGTAAACTACACAGAAAACCATGGTTTTAGTACATGAACACATATCATTAATATAACATTAACCTCCCTAGCGGTCTGATTATGTCCATACTTCTGTGCTCAAAGCGGTACATTTTTTTGCATGGAAATACCGTATTTTTTCGCTCCATAAGACGCACTTTTTTCCCCCAAAAAAAGGGGGAAAATGTCAGTGCGTCTTATGCTAGAGCGGCCGGTCCGGTATTTTCACCGCCGCCGTGTCAGAATACCGGGCCGGCCACTCAGCTCTGCAGTGGGACCTTACCTGTTCCTCTATCCAGCGGCGCGCTGTCTTCCCGGCTTCTGTAGTGTGCGTGACAGCGGGTCCCAAGTGCGCATGCACAAGAAGCGGTGCGCTTTGTGTGAATGGTAAGGCGGTACCTGGACACATGACAGATCCCAGAAGCTGCCGGACCAATCACAAAGCGCAGCGCTTCTCGCGCATGCGCACTGGGCATCGGGCTGTTCCACATACAGAAGCCGGGTAGCGCGCGGCTGGATCGAGGGAACAGGTAAGATAAAAAAAAAAAACTCTGCGGGTACCTGTCAAATTCAGGTACCCGCTCCCCCCCTCCCCAAAGTCAGCATCATCTGTACTGTCCACACTGGTCATCCCTGTAAGTCACTGGTTTTCCCTGTACTGTCCGCAACATCCCTGTACTGTCCGCAGTCACTGGTCATCCCTGTAATATATCCCTGTACTGTCCACAATCACTGGTCATCCCTGTACTGTCCAGAATCACTGGTCATCTGATAACCCTGTACTGTCCACAATCATGGTCATCTCCTGCTACTATGTCTGCAGTCCATTAGGTTCAGAATTTTTTTGCATAGGTGCGTCTTATGGTCAGGTGCGTCTTATGGAGCGAAAAATACGGTATGTATTTTTTTTATTGTAGGCCTGTAATTTTTAGGAATAACTCACTGAAATCTGTCCGAACAAGAGTCTAGTAAACATCCCGGGTATGTTACAATTTGAAACACGAAATCATAAATTATAATTTAATAAATAATCATAAAAAATAATAATATAATAATAATAATAAATTTAATTCAATAATATAATCAAACCAAAAACACTGAAATTTGAAATATAGCGCCAAGTTCGCACATCACTGAGCAAAGTCGCAAAATCGTTTTCAGTGTCTGATGACGAATTTCCCCACAAATCATTATCACTCAATTCTGCAAGTGGTTCTAATTTACTATCGCTGTTCTCTAGCTGGTCTAAAACTGCTTTTGACCTAAAGGGACGCTTTTTTGGACGCCATGGACATTTCTCAGTTTCCAGGAAGAAAGAACAGTAAAAACGCAGGCAGGGCACAGGACAAAGCACTCGGGACAAAATGTATGTGAAATGGTTTGATACAGTAATGTTTTACTATGTGATCTTAGTGTATTTAGTGAATGTCACTTTTTGTAATTTTCAGATTTCCTGCCGTTCCGTCCCTGTACGTCCCGAAGCTCGCAGGGCATGGAACCCAGATGACAGATGCCGGCATCCGCCGGATTACATTCCCGGGGACACTGCAGGAGGGACATCGTGGGAGCGCAGGACAAGGTAAGGGAAGACAGATCCCGGAGCAGCGCCGCATGTTAAGCCCGAGTGTAGCTCGGGGTTACCGCTTGTAGTGCTGAAACTTTACCCCGAGCTACACTCGGGAATACCGCCAGGGAGGTTAAGCTGATCTCTTTCATATGTTTGCCCTTTTCAGTTGTTGCTGGTTTGCTAGGCAGCTATGTACGTTTTCACCAAATAAAAAGTCATTTGTATCCATATTAATAACACTGAGCAAAATATTCAGTTGTGCTCAACGTTTGCATACCCTGGCAGGAATCGTGAAATTGATATTAAAATAACACTGATCATGTCAATGACTGTCTTTTATTTAAGGATAGTGATCATATGAAGCCATTTATTATCACATAGTTGTTTTGCTCCTTTTTTAAACCATAATGATAACAGAAATAATCCAAATGGCCATGATCAAAAGTTTACATACCCTGGAATGTTTGTCCTTGGTACAGACACACAAGGTGACACACATGGGTTAAAATAGCATTTAAATTAAATTTAAAATTATTTTCAAAATGTTTTGAAGGATCACAAAAGGACGATACTTGAATATAAAAGAGATGCATGGTCAAGTTGCCAGAAAGAAGCCTTTACTGCACCAATGCCGCAAAAAAGCTTGGTAAAGTTTGCCAAGATCTTGTCGGGTATATTGTAATCAGACTTTTTTGTGGCATTGGCACAGTAAAGGCTTCTTTCTGGCAACTCGACCATGCAGTCCGTTTTTGTTCAAGTATTGTCATATTGTGCTCCTTCAAAGCAACCACACTGTCTTTTTCCAGAGCAGCCTAAGGAGGTGACCTGCGTGTTTTTCTTTGCATTCCAAACAATTCTTTTGGCAGTTGTGACTGCAATCTTTCTTGGTCAACCCGAACTTCGCTTATATCAGGAGATCTCCAAATTTTCAACTTTTTAATAAGTGATTGAACAGTACTGGCTGGCATATTCAAGGATATGGATATCTTTTTAAATCTTTTTCCATATTTATAAAGTTCCTTAACCTTGTTATGCAGGTCTTTTGACAGTTCTTTTTCTGACCCCAATTTAAAAAGCCACAGATGTGGAAAAGTAACCTTTAATTGCCATTTTACCCTGTGTGTGTGTCACCTTGCATGCCTGTACCAAGGTCAAACATTTGAGGATGTGTAAACTTTTGATCAGGGCCATTTTGGTGATTTCTGTTATCATTATGCTTTAAAAAGGAGCCAAACAGCTATGTGATAATAAATGGCTTCATATGATCACTATCCTTAAATAAAAGACAGTTTTTGGCATGAACAGTCATATTTTCAATCCCAAAACGTCACAATTTCTGCCAGGGTATGTAAACTTTTAAACACAACAGTATGTAATGATCTAATATAGCTGGTTAAAAATTCTTTATTTAAAAAAGTAACTCTATGTAGTATATGTAAAGAATACCAGTATATATAGTAATACACTGTGCTGCATTAAGAATGGCGATACCACCCAGACAGGATAACACAGTTAAGGCCGCCTTGCATATATGTATGTGGGAGGTATGTCAGAATGGTAAAATAGAAATCACTCTAACTGCTCTAAACAAATCCCATATTCCCCCGTAGGTCTCTGTTTTTACAATATTGTTTCAATGTGTATTTTTATAAGTAGATTAGGTGGTTGTACAGTAGTTTTCCTCTGGGGGGAAAGTGTGTATTAAGTGCAGCTGCCAAGGTATTAAGTTTGTTCTTCCTTGACAGATGTGCTGTGTTATCCCAAGTCCCATCCAGTCTTTTCTGTGCTTTTTGATGTACTAAACAGACGCTGACTTTAATCTGATGTCTTGTAGTGTCAACCTTCTTATTATAATTACAACCAAAATGTTATGTTTGTATTATTCACAGTCAGGTCTTGTATGAGATAATCTTAACAGATTTTCTTCTATGATAAAAAAAAAAATAAACTGTCTGCGGTCTACCTTTTAAATGAAAAACAGTTTGTGTTAAGACCAAGTTCTAATCCTGATTTATGGTTTCCTGTAAAATACTAAACAAATCCCTAAAGCTGCTGACCTGAGAATGTAGGTGCTAATAAGTATGTAATGGTGTACTGCGCAGGAAGAGTATGGAATCTGGGATCTTAAAAGGTGCATTGCTCCCCAGAGTACTCCTGGAGACATGCTGTTTCTTTAGTGCAGCCCGATACACTGCGCTCATAATGTTCTACATCCCAACAAAGTTGATTTTCCAAAGGATTTGAGAATGTTCACACAATAAAATATGTGAAGATTTGCATTCAGTTATCCAATCACATGAAAAGAAAATCCCTGTGTACTTACTATATCCGCATATGACTGGATACTTGAACTGAATATTCACACTATTTATTGTGTGAACATTCCGAAATTCTTTAGTAAGTCAGCCTCACTGTGTTTGTATATCCTCAATCAATAAAGTGATATTAAACCAACTGTTTTTTCAGCACTTGAGTGTGCAGCTTTTTTATCTTGTCATCTTTGCCTATGTTCCAGTTTAACCACTTGCTGACCCGCCACTTTACATATACTGCAGCTACAAGCACCGCAACGTACTGGTACGTGCCTGTCTCCAGGTTTCGGGTGTGCGTGTGCCACCCTCCCCCACCCACTTCGCTGTGATTTGACACAGTGAGAGTTTGTCAACAGACCCTGGCCAATGATTCGTGGCTGGGACCTGCTGATCAGCTGTGTCGAATCACACAGAGGGAAGGACCACTGAACAGAGGGAAAAATCACTTTT